TAGTCAGAAGCCGAACATGAATTCAAGAAAGTCAGGACCTAAGAGAACCAAGATTAAGTATTTTCTATGGGAATCATTCCTGAGAAGAATGTTTTAAGTATTGGGGGGTATTTTGGTGTATTGACAATTTGTCTATATTTTTCTAGATTTGTTCACAAAGAAGACAAATACATTTATAAGCCTATCGCAGCAATGATGGGCTGAAATGACCTTACCTTTAGGTGATGGGTAAAATATTTCGAGGTCAAAAGCTGATTATTCCAATATAATGGACAGCTTTATAATTTTTTTAAAATTTGTGGTATTGGAATGTAGCTATACAAACAGGGGATAGGATTCTGAGCTGACTATCTTCAAATGGAATGTCCACTCCGGGTGGCGCCAACAAATATAACTTAAAATATTGTGAATAAGAGACACATTTTGCAAGGTGTACAAGAGGTATGCACCAAAGTGTTTTTTGTTTTTAATTTTTATTAGTGAGACACCATGAGGTACAGTTGTAGACTTACACATTTTTGTGCTTGGGTTTCAATCATACAATGTTCAAATGCCCATCCCTCCACCAGTGCCCATTTCCCACCATCACGGGTCTCAGTATCCCTCTCACCCCCCCCCCCCTTCCACCCTGCCTCTGTGGCAGGGCATTCCCTTTTGTTCTCTCTCTCCTATTGGGTGTTGTGCTTTGCAAAAGAGTCAATGAGTGGCAATCATGTTTGGTCTATAGTCTACTTTCAGCATGCTTCTCCCTTCCTGGGAGGATCCTCCCAACACCCTTTACTTGGTGTTCCCTTCTCTACCTGAGCTCCCTTTCCCCCTAACATGTGTGACTGGCCTCCAATGCACCAAAGTTTTTAATGAGGGTAAATAATGGAGGAAAAATGGATAAAGAAAACCTTACTTAATGCTAGTCTTCCATTAAATACCTCAGACTTAGTAGTTGAGGTTATGTAACCTCTCCAATTCCAGGGGTTCTATAGCAGCATCCTCAAGCACTTTAGCTGGGCCTGGGATGTTCAGCCAGAGGACAAACAGGATGCAAAGGACTTCAAGTTCCCTTTGATCAACAACAGACTTTGTTTTGTTTTCACTTAAGAACTGAGAACTAAATAACACTCAGCTGTTAAAAGCACGGGTAGAGGTGAAGCATTACACGTGATATCATTAATTACCCGTACGGCAAAGTATTCACATTATTCCATGAGTTTCTCAGAAACTTGCATCAATTAACAGAAAAGAATCCTAGACCTCAGAGCCTCTGCTCAACAGAGTTGTCTAAGGAAATTGGAGGAGGATAAAGAAATCTGCTGATGTGTGCACAAAACTTTCACAAAACTCATTCATCCAGTTCTGCCTATGGAATCACAGACACTGAATTTAGATGATTGGAGACTTAAAACCTCCCAATCTGAGGAAAGAAATTAAAAACTAGAAAAACACTGTCACTGTCCTCCCGTTGTTCATTGATTTACTCGAGCGGGCCCAGTAACGTCTCCATTTTTTTTTTTTTTTGAGACTTGTTACTGTGTTTAGCATATTGAATACATCACGGGTAGCTTGCCAGGCTTTGCCATGCGGGCGAGATACTCTCAGTAGCTTGCCGGGCTCTCCAAGAGTGGCTGAGGAATCGAACCCGGCTCGGCCGGTCTGACTGCGCAAAAGGGAAAAGGCCTTACCACTGTGCTATCGCTTCCGAAAACTAGAAAAAAGACAAGCAATAGTGAATCTTCTCATCAGTGGTCACTAGAGGGAGCACTGTGCCATATTCTGAGAGCAAGATCTGAAATGAAATGCAGGCCCAGATCCTAGAGCCCTCTAGTACATGTCACTGACTTGGAACAACTCAGAAACTCTGTCATGGTCACAATGCTGACAGACCCTGAGGAACTTATTTGCATGACAACCCCACCTCCACAGGGGAAACAGGTATATGGAGGCTTGGAGGCTGCTCCTGAGCTGAGGGGGTCTGACAAATCACAGCATTGGGTTGTCTACACCATGGCCTGGGTTCCTCTCCTGCTCACAATTCTGGCTCACTGCACAGGTCAGGAGGACTCTCTGGGTTGGTGGGGGATACTGGCAAAGGATGCTTTGCTGCAAGTTTATATCATTGTCTCATCCTCTGTCCTTGGTCTCCTGTCTGTTTTCAGGGGTCACTTCTCAGAATGTGGTGATTCAAGAATCGTCACTAGTCACAACTGCTGGAGGCACAGTTACACTCACATGTGGCTCCAGTACCGGGGCAGTGACCACCAATCAACTTGCTTGCTGGATTCAACAGAAGCCCTATCAGAAGCCTTGGGGTTTAATAGGTGGAACCAGTAATAGGCATCCAGATGTCCCTGCCCGATTCTCTGGCTCCCTGCTGGGAAACAAGGCAGTCCTCACCATCACTGGAGCCAAGGAAGAGGATGAGGCTGAGTATTTCTGTGCTCTGTGGTTCAGCAACCATTTCCACAGTGACAGATGGAAGGGGGGAACTGAGACATAAACCCTGAACTAAGCTTCATCTTTTGCTGCTGAGTACAGCAGATCCTATCACGAAGCCACCTTGTTCAAAGTTTTCTGTATATTGTTGATTAAAAATAACAACTCTTTCTGCAAACTTTCAAATAAACAAAGTTATTCCAGGTCTTGATCAATTTCTTCACTTCAATACTGCTGTCTTAGACTTGGCTTCTCATTCAGGATTTACTCTATTCCTTTTCTTTGGTATTCAAGGAATTTTGCAGACATGCACAGGTAATGTTATTGGGGTAAAGTCAATTATATTTCTTCCATACATAGCATCACCAGCAATGTTCATTCTCACTAAGAGTAAGGAATAAAACAATATTTTATGTATTGATAACATCAATTGAAAACCATTTTATACAGTGTATGTGTTGCTGTAAATTAATATACATTAGATATAACAGAATCAGATGGAATATTTGGAAATTAATTCTAATTATATTATGTCATCATTAAAGTTCAGAAAATCATTGAAAAATACTTATGAAATGAAGGATCATTTGTTCTGAAAAATTACAAACAACATTGTGAATTGAGGAAGTTACTATGGGACACTGATTCTTTAGATTTGGGGGGTTTGGGTTTTGTTTTTCTCTCTTTGGATTTTGGGTGTTCACACCCAGCAATGCTTAGGGGTTACTGCTGACTGTGCACTAACGAATTACTCCTTATGTTTTGAAAGATGACACTTGATGTTTCTTTGGATGAAGTCATAGTGGGATGTATACAGTTTATCAGTAGAGCAGCCTACCACTGGAAATTTTGAAATTTAATTTAGAACATTTGTCTTAACATTTAAAGTTATAGGTTAGTCAGAGAGATAGCTCAATAGATTATCTGAATTCTTTTCATGTCAGAAAGATGCATGAAAAGAACATGAAAGAATTGCATGTTCTTTGAGTCTTCCAGGGATGACTCATAAGCACATAACTGGTATTGCCCCAAAATCCAGACAAAAATAAAGTTAGAGATATATAAATTTAATTTTTTGAAAATTATGTATTTGAGTATTTAGTATTGTATTGATTTTAAAAAATTGATATTTTTCTAAAATGTTATTAAAAATATTTTTTGAGCCACACCCACTAGTGCTCAGAGATCTGCACAGAGGGATCTCACTCTTGATGGCTGCAGCAACCATGTGAAATGCCAGAGATTAGAGTCTGGGTCGGCTACATCCAACGAAATAGTTGGAAACTACAGAATCATCTAGCAGAAACCAGGAAACCCTATGTAACATCCCCTGAGCTAGCATACTGACTCAGACAATGACAGGGCTAGGGATAATTTTCCTGGATCCCTAGATGTCTGTACCACCATTCCAGCCCCTGCTGAAGAAGAATAAAATTAAATTTGACCATGTAATCTTGAGAGTTCTGTAACTACCCTCATGATATTTTCCTTATTCTCCGAAAATCTATAAACTAGTTCGACATGATTTTCATATCTTTTAATATTTTTATCTAATATACAATTCTGCATCACTGTCACTGTCACTGTTCTCCCGTTGTTCATTGATTTGCTCGAGCGGGCCCAGTAACGTCTCCATTTTGAGACTTCTTGTTACTGTGTTTGGCATATCCAATACATCATGGGTAGCTTGCCAGGCTTTGCCGTGTGGGCGAGATACTCTCGGTAGCTTGCCTGGCTCTCTGAGAGGTGTGGAGGAATTGAACCCTGCTCGGCTGGGCTGGCTGCACAAGGGAAACGCCCTACCGCTGTGCTATCACTCCAGCCTAATTCTGTATCTTACTTGAAAAATTATTTTTAATCTAGTCTATGAGATTTTTAGAGATTTTATTTTCATTTCACTTTTTTTCAAATACAATTAGCAGAGTCACTGTGGAACTACCCGTGCTGTTCCTTATCTGTTCAGTGAGATCAGTAAACTTGATGCCTGAACCTGATGGCTGTTCCCTGTGAGCTCACTGATGAGAACTCTGCACTGCAGCTTCTCTGGCCTGTAAGAGTTGCCTGACCATGGACTTTAGTCTCCAAGGGTGCTTCCTGCTGGGCTCTCCCAAGAGGGAAAGCAAATCTTCCTGCTGACTCTGGGCTGAGATTTGGGTTCCAGATGCAGGGTTCAGGAGGGTGTGGGTAATTAACGAATGGAAACTTGTTTCCATCGATAGTCTCTACTTTGACATAGGGTGAAGAAGAAAAGGGGACTTGGTTCGAAATTCTCAAAGGTGGGGTCAGGTTTTAATGTGTACCAGGGTCTGGTCTCCTCTCCTACTCGTGTTCCTCTCTCATTGCACAGGTAGGGTCAGACCTGAAAGGACAACCCTAACACACCCGAAAACCTTGCTTAGAAGACTGACGACTCAGACCCTGACTCATTCTCAGAATTATGAGTGTCTTTGTTTGCAAGTTCCCTCTCCCAGTCTGTGCTGATTCAGCCACAGTCAAAATCTCAGGATCTCCTGGGACAGCAGCCAGACTTACCTGCACCCTGAGCAGTGGCTACTGTGTTGGAAACTACAGGGTTATCTGGCAGCAGCAGAAGCCTGGAAGTCCTCCATGGTATCTCCTGAACTACCACAGTGATTCACACAATGGCTGGACCCTGAGGTCCTACTCGTTTTCCTGGATCCAAAGATGTCTTCTTCAATGCAGGGATTCTGCTCATCTCTGGGCTGCAGGCTGAGGATGAGGCTGACTGTTACTCCATGGGGGGTTGCAGCTGGAATTCTCACAGAGATACACACACGGGAAGAGAAGTGGTTGAAAACCTCGAATGATTCAAGACACAGATTTCTGACTCTTATCCCATGTTTACATGTTCTGAATATGTACCAATTTGATTTGCAAGTCACTTTCAGATTACTGTTTCCCTATTCCCACATATTTGAACTCTGAATCAAAATAAATACAATGTCCATGTATGTATGTATTGATCTTCAGGAGTCTCTGATTTTACCACGTAGAAACCTGACATTCTGTGTATATTAATGTTTTGAGTTTATTGCTATCATAGAGCTGACTTACTGTCTGGCCTTCATTACTTTGTCCACCTGATTGACCTGTTTCTTCTCCTCGATGACTTGACTGTTATATCTTATGCCACTTCTTCCTCTGACAATTTCCTTAAAGGAACTTTCACACTTCTTTGCATCTGCCCATGGTTTTGAATTTTCTGGGTTTGTGAACAGAACTGTTCAAGTCCAAATTCCTTCTTTTTGTCCAAAATAAAGCCTGACTGGTTCACTGGAAGTGGCTTTGAGATACTTGTCAGTTTTCAGGTTCAGAATCTCAGTGGGTTTAACATAGTCAACTGCAGGTAAGGTTTCCTTGTAGACACACTGTCAGGAGTGAGATAATAAACAATGTTATAGCCTACTCAATCAGGTCTTTAAGAGAGTCTCTCTTTGGGAAGATGGGCTGTGTGTCCTTCCTCACACACAGTATGCTCTTCTGCTAACATTGTTTATATTCTCTTGGACTATGAAGCTTGGGCACTTTCTTTTGTATCTTCAGATTCAGGGATCAACCTTTGCTGACCCAAACATTCTCACTGTCAGAATCTGCAAGAGAAAGAATCTCCTTAGGCAAAACACACCAGTGGTAACTGTAACTGGGTCCTATTAATATGGCTTGTTTGGGAAGCAGAGTAAAGAGGTGCTTGCTGGGGTAAGTTTGATCAAAGAAATTTCAGGACAGGGATTTCTTCCATCTGTGCAACTCAGCTATAAGGAAAGATGAGATCGTGCAATTAACTGCTATGTGGATGGATCCCGAGACAACATGCTAAATGAAGTAATCAGAAGAACAGACACAAATGATCTCTCTCCTTTGCAGATACAAAGAAACAAAGTAGCAGAATATCAAATGGCCAAAGGCTACAGAAACTGTTAACTGATCTTCAGTAGGAATCTAACCACGGGGTGTTTGGGAGAAGGGGGTACACTGGGATGGTGGTGGAGGGAAGTGGACTCAAAGACTTGAATATTTTATTTCTTTTAAAATTATTATGTTTTTGGTTTGGCAGCCTCACCTGGAAATGATAAGACCTTACCCTTGGCTTTGTGCTCAGAGATCACCTCTGATGAGGCTCAGGGTTTCAACTATGGTGCCAGGTCTCAACTAGGTTGTCCACATGCAAGAAGGGTGTCTTACTAGTTGTATTTCTCAATCAATGGAATGTTTTATAAAGATTTAAAAATAACACTTCTGCAACCATGGTGAAAAATTAATTTTTAATTTTATTTATATGTTTAGGGCTGTAGCAATAGCACAGCGGCAGGGCATTTGCCTTGTACGCGGCCAACATGGTCGACCGAGTTCTATTCCTCCGCCCCTCTCGGAGAACCCGGCAAGCTACCGAGAGTATCTCGCCCGCACGGCAGATCCTGGCAAGCTCCCCATGACATATTCGATATGCCAAACACAGTAACAACAAAGTCTCCAATGGAGACGTTACTGGGCCTGCTCGAGCAAATCGATGAACAAATCGATTTATATGTTTATAAATTGTATTTTCATAAATTTGTTCACAATAATTGATTACATTCAATATTTCAAGACCAATTCCACCACTATTACACATTCCCAACGACCACTGTTTTGAATTTTCCCACCACCACTCAAGCCTCCCCCACAGGCAGATGCTAGATAATTTATCTTGTATTTCTTTGAATATTCTTTGAATTTCTTGTATTTCTTTGAATGAATAGTATGACATGGCTATAAGGGTCTGTCTCATAGTGATTCAATAAAAAAGTTAAAAACAATAGTATGAGATGATGCATGGCTGCTAAAGGTGTCAATCACTCCTGGAATTTAAAAATTTTAAATAATTGGGATCCAGAGACATCTCTGCAGTGAGTTGCTTGGTTCTGCGATATATTTGTGAGTCTCTGGATCATGGCCATTCATAAGCTTAAGTGGCACCTGGAGGCAGTTCGTGGGGGTGACAGCCAGGACCTTGGAAGGGTGGGAGAGGAGAAGGGGTGGCCCAGTCCCCACCTCCCGAGGCCTGGAATTTTCAGTCACTGGTCCTGCATACCGGATTTTCAGTGGGTTTATTCTCTTGTCTGAGGGGCCCAGGGCAAGGCTGTGAAGATCGGCGGCAAGGGTGGTAGGGATTGGGTTCTGGAGTTTCAGGGCTTCCTTTCGGGCAGACGGAGAGAGGACACCTGCTCCAGTCTCAGGCACCCCAGTGAAATCAGCCTGGCATAATATCCAGAAACATCTATACCGCAAGCAACTTTGTTCTGAGATTCATTTGTGAATCTCCTGATCATGACCATGAATGTGCTTCAGTGGCTCCCAGAGGCAGCTCGTGGGCATGACAGGCAGAACCCCAGAAGGGTCAGAAGATGGGAATTAATTTTTTTAAACTAGCCTACATTTGGGCTGGAGCGATAGCACAGCGGTAGGGCATTTACCTTGCACGTAGTCAGCCCAGCTGAGCCAGGTTCGATTCCTCTGCCCCTCTCGGAGAGCCCAGCAAGCTACCGAGAGTATCTCGCCTGAATGGCAAAGCCTGGAAAGCTACCCGTGATGTATTGGATATGCCAAACACAGTAACAACAAGCTCTCACAATGGAGACGTTACCGGGCTTGCTCGAGCAAATCGATGAACAACAGGAGGACAGTGACAGCCTACATTTAATGGCTCTTTATAACATATAAAATGCAGGCCCAAAAGGACAATTCAAAAAAGAAGCACATTTCCATTCACATACTACCCAAATATACCACTCCTATCATTTATTTAATGATATTTTATAATACTTCCATAATAATGTGGATTACTAATGAAGATAAAGCTCATCTTGGTCTCTTCTGTATCATGAAGTCTATCTACAGTATATGCATGAGTTTATGTGCATGTGTGTGTGAGAGAGAGAAAGAGAGACAAGGAGAGTGCTCGCTTCAGCAGCACTTATACTAAGATTGGAACGATACAAAGAAGATTAGCATGGCCGTGCGCAAGGATGACACGCAAATTCGTGAAGCGTTACATATTTTTTTTTTATTACAGCACTCTTTACAATAGCCAGAATCTGGAAAAAACCTGAGTGCCTGAGAACAGATGACTGGTTAAAGAAACTTTGGTTTCATTTGGTTACATTTACACAATGGAGTACTATGTAGCTGTTAGAAAAGACAAAGTCACGAAATTTACATACAAGTGGTACTACATGGAAAGTATTATGTTAAGCGAAATGACTCAGAAAGAAAGGGATAGACATAGAAAGATTGCATTCATCTGGGGAACATAAAGTGGCAAAATAGGAAACTAACACCCAAGAATGGGCGAGAGTAGTACCAGGAATTTTACTCCATGACTTGGAGGCCAACCACACATACTGGGGGAAAAGGGAGCTCAGATAAAGAGGGGAACACCAAATAAAGGTGTTGGGAGGATCCTCCCAGGATGGGAGAAGCATGATGAAAATAGACTATAGACCAAACATGATTGCCACTTAATGTTTCTTTTGCAAACCACAACAACCAAAAGGAGAAAGAGAACAGAGGGGAATGCCCTGCCACAGAGACAGGGTGGGATGGGGGGGATGGGGAGTGGGAGGGATACTGGGATCCGTGGTGGTGGGAAATGGGCACTGGTGGAGGGATGGGTGTTTGATCATTGTATGATTGAAACCCAAGCACAAAAATGTGTAAGTCTGCAACTGTACCTCATGATGTCTCACTATTAAAAAATTTTATAATAAAAAAAGAGAGACAACGAGAGCTAAGTCAAAATTTTATATGTATATTTCAATATTGGCTTTTTAAAATATATTTGAATTTGGTCATGAGTCAACTGTGAGAAATAACTATTTAAGTATTAGTATAGATATCACTTTTAAATATTTTAATATGAATCAAACATGTATCATTGCAATTAATACTAATTAGTCCTTTTAACTAATTCATTAATTCTTCATTAGAATTTTTTAAAATTTATTTACAACAGTTATATTAACTACAGAGTCTCCTGCCCCTGCACCTGGCTGTCCTCACCGGGGCCCCTTGGAGGGGGAGGGTTGAGTTTCTCTCCCCACCACCCCGCCCGAGCAGAGCCCCAGCAGCTGAGGACCTCCGGAGTCAGCCACGGCCATGCTGGAACCACTCTCCACATGGCCGGATGGGCCTTATGCATGAAAGAACTGGCAGAGGAACCCAGGCATGCAGGTCCTGGGGCTGAGGTCTCCAAGCCTACTCCGATTGGGTCTGGGCCTTCTCCAACCATACCCCTATCTTCCAATAGGTAGGCATCACACCCACCAGCTGCTGCCAACACCAGGTTGGTCTCATCAAGGGCCAAAACACAGAGACTATAAAATCCAGCTCCCGGAATTGCGCAGCCGCATTTGTGGCCATGCAAAATCTTATTATCTTATTTTTCCTTTGGAGAACCTGGCAGGCTACCAAAAGTATCCTGCCCTCATGTCAGTCTGGCAAACTTCCCGGGTCGTACTCAATATGCCAAATACCAGTAACAATGATGGGTCTCATTCTCCTAATCCTGAAAGAGCATTGAAATGGATCTTTTAAAATCTCAGGGCTAAGAAGAAGGAGACGTTACTGGTGCCCGTTCGAGGAAATTGACGAACAACAGTGTGATCGTGATTTACAACAGTTATATTAATGTAAAACTTTTGCATAATTTTCTTAATTGCATAACCACTATTATAAGTACATCACAAGAGTTAGGATATTTTCCTTCTTTGAAGTTTATGTTGACTGTGCTTCAGTGATACAACATTTACCTTGCACATGAAAGACCAAGCTCTATCCAGGAACCCCAAATAGTCCCAAGGGTGATCACCAGAAGTGATCCCTGAGTGCAGATCTTGGAGATGCTGGGCACCACCAGATTTGGGCCCAAAGTTTAGGTGAAGAAAATTTATGCAGAGTGAAAAAAATTAAAATTTAACATTTTGAAATTTTCTATTCAATTATCTGAATTGTATGCTGTTCTGTGGAATGCCTACATAATAACTTTTCCTATGTTTTTAGAAAACTCATATTTTATTTATTTCAAATGCAGCCTATTTTGCATCTTTCTAAACAAGCATGGTTTTTACATATTCAGTAATAAAAGCAGTCAGGATATTTTTTCTATTCTTTTCAAACACAGCCAACAGGAGGTGCTGTGGAACTCCCTTCCTTTCCCATCACAGC